GTGCGTACAGGAGCGAGTGAACTTTGTCACCCACTTTCATCTCAGCAACCAGGAAATTCGGAAGGCTCAAATTTGGGGTATATGTTTCTATCTCGTGTGTCATCCTCCCGTTTTAAAATTTTCGCTCACACGCGACTAGACCTCACGTACGGACCCCTGAAAAAAAATACGCAAATTTCTTTGGCGGGAAACGACTTCATCTTACATTTCTAATATTGGTACAAATCCGGGTTTGAGTCAAAGAGATGAACTAAAGCAATGTTCGACAACTGCATTTTAGCTGCTTATGTTTGTTTCTCGGATTACTTAAGGCGCTGTATGTTCCTTCAAATTTGAATCCTAAAACGATGAATTTCTAAAAAGCTGAAACTGAATTCTAAAGCTGGGAAACTGAAATTTTAACAGGCTGATTCTTAAATTACTAGCGTTTTGTAATTCTCAAGTCACTGCCTTACTTTTACCTGGACAGATTTTAAATCATGTATCTTCCTAATGGCTTCTGGTATGTGTTGTGATTTTTAAATAATAATTGACACTACGTCGCTTTCTCGTGACTAATTACATGCAAGAAAGAAGCATACTTCGGCCAATGTAGTCGAACAAATCTACGCCATCAATATATTCGGTGATCATCTGCCACCGTATTCCGACCTTGCGAAATCCAATTACTTCCACTAAATTCGGATGTGGCACGATGTGGCCTGTGATTTCCCGTATCTGAAAAATTCACTGGATGAGTGACAAGCTGTTCTACATCTGGAAATAAAAAGTACACCTGAAATCTTTTGGATGAAAATGTCCAAAAAATAATTTTTGAGTCACAAGAACAGAAGTTGCTGCTCACACAACTCAGCTGAGTTACAGAAATAAACTGAGAGCTCAACAGCGATAACCTGAACGATGGTGTTTGAAAACGCACGACTTAGCATGAAAACGTAAACCAAAAGGCATAAATGCACATGCCCTTCGAGTGCATTTATTTGCCATCATTTACAAAAAAAAATAGCCAGAGTATCCTTAACGAGTGGAGAAAAAATAACTTTATTAAAATAATCCTCGGTCTTTTTCGTCCACTTTCCCTGGCGCTTTTTGCGCCATTTATTGAGACCGGCCGGTTCCAGCCTCACTCGCATTGCGAACGAACGTCCATCGTCCGTTCTAGCTTTGTACACTTGGAAATATCCACCTAAAATGAAATCTGGAGAAGTGAGGGAACTTAAAGTGTACAGTGGTAATTCAGAGGACTGTTTCCTGATTTGTCATGCGTATACAACGAGCTCACTGTAATTGAAGCACTAGAATTTTATACCTAGGTTTTTTGAATCTCCAAGACACTGTTGAGTCATTTTGCTTTTGTGACTTTCCTGTACCAAAAACCCGCAAATTCTAAGGGAAGGTGAAAATGATCTAGATTCTCCATGCTCTCACCTTTTCCAAGTATTCTTTCCTTCACCCAATGCTTCCCCATTAAATCGGCCGGCATGTGGGTATCGTCAATCGCGTCATTCCTGCCGGCATCTCCGCTGGACGACGCACCGGGCTCATCCATAGCGAGATCATCGATCTCACTTGAGCCTTCCTTTGGGCGTAACACATCTTCGGATTCGCACATCGAAGAATCCATCTTTTCACTTTTGACCCATGAATACGTTAATCGTTAGTAAAAAATATAAAATACTGAAAAGCACTGTCTTATAAAAGAAAGAACTTCAGTTAAGAAACAGCTGAATCGGCAGAACAACGATTCTCAACAATTTCAATTTTTAATTACAAAATCAATCCGAATTTACAAATAGTCCAAAAATTAAATATCATTTATCTTGCATTTTCATGGATGAAATCTTCCAAATTTCCACTGTGTCGGTAAGATCAGTTGTATAATAGCATCCTTTTTCAAGTGTAACACAATCATATACCTAGCACCTCTCAGCCATGAAAAGTTAGTTTCGATCCTAAAATCTTGTTTGGATAAGCGGTACATCCGCTTTATATGATATTATTCCCCATGAGCATCGAGTCTCTTCGGATTATTGCTGAAACATTCTCTAAAATGAATTTTTAACTTAAAATGACACACTCCGCATTCCAGCCATCCGCAGTCTTACACTCCTTTCTGATCGTTGTGCTTTTACAGCTGACTTTACTTTTCCTACTTCATTTTCGTGCAATTTTTTTTTTTTTAAACAATGCAACAGAAAAGGATTTTGATTTGTCCTCTCTTTTGCATCGGCTATTCTCACTGCTAGTGAGAGCTAACTTATAATTTCAATTAACTTAAATTGATCTGTCACTGGATTAATAATAAACCCAGGCTGGGACGCACCAAGCGAGCCGGTGCGATCATGCGTTTTTGCATCAGACTTTGAAGTACCGTCTCTCAGAGAGGGGGAATAGGGAAGAAAGAAGGGTGTTGCACATTATGTTACCATTCAGCTGAGGGCGGGGTTTGATCATCTGTGCGAATCGACGAATTAACGGCCCATCGCTACTTCGCACATTGAACAAGACATCTTCAACTTCCAAGCTTCAACTTATATCGAAATGAGATGTATCGACGTTCGGTAATACATCAGCCCTCCTCCCCACCTCCCGCCCCCACCCTGGACATGCATCTTTTCGAAGCGGTGGTATTGGGCATACAAAACAATTACAAAGCGGTACTCTTTGAGTACGGTATGATGCTGTGGTGCACAACCCCGGAGAGCGGTCTGACACAAAAGTGAATAACTTTTGTGTCTGTTTGGATAGTGGATGGTTGTGGTTTTCCTCGGTGTTCGCGGGGAGAGTTGAGGGGGGGGAGGGGGGAGGGGGAGGAGGTTTAGTGTTTTTCCGGCTCTTTATGCGTTTTTGCTGTGCAGCGCTATAGCGCTGCTACAGCCAGCAAAAACGCATATTGTCGAGA